CTGTTTCATAGGAGCAAATTGCGCCTTAAACTTAAGTAACGCCTTAAGTATACCTTAAGTAATTAGGACATCCTATTTCACTACTCAAGTAAGCACGTTAAGGCGCCTTAAGTTTAGGAATACTTAAGGCGCCTTAAGTTTCTGTGCATATACTTAAGTATTTACGAGAAGCATTTCACAACATGCGTACTTAAGGAGCAACTTAAGTATTCCTTAAATTTTATTAAGGTAGAGCCGACCCTACCTAAACAGATACTTGAGTATCGTGTTTGCATATTGCACCCTGCAGGGGTTGAACCAGGGACCCTTCGAAGGACAATGTTTGAATATTGTACCTCGCGGGGGTCGAACCGGAGACCTTACGAATGGCAGCACGGTGCTCTGCCAGGTGAGCTAGAGAGGCAAAGAAGTCAAACGAGCAGTTCACTCCTTCAACACAGCGGAAATCAAACCGACTGTACTGGCAACAGGCGTTTATTATAGTGATGTCCATGTTTGATTGTGTTCGTTTCGGTTCCCACCATAACTTTTTGAACACAAGATTTACAATTCACCGAAACTCAGACACCTTGTAATGCAAGCCATGCCAACGTAACAGTAACTAAATTCTACATCGTAACTGGCGGGGCGACGTGAGGAAGATATCCAAGGTATGTGCTGCTGTTTTCGTACTGCACAACATGGCCACCTTCATGAATCAGCCATTGCAAGACGTTGAAGAGGCAATGTTAGGTGCTTATGAACAGGAGATGGCTGTGGTTGACCCAGATGCTCCAGTGGATGGTGTCGGGAACGCTCTCCGTGAAAGCTATGTTCGCAGATATTTTCAGTGACTTTGCGATGCATCAGTGATTCGCGACATCATAAGTATATTTTCCATTCTGCGGATTGTTGTGTTACTCATTGTAGTTAGATTCGTAATTTGTGAGAACTTTTCATGCAGTTCGTTATCAATGATCGACGAAAGTAGTTGTGAAGCAATTAATAAGGAAAAATATCACACCTTAGACTCGATCCTGCACGTTTCGGATGACGGCGGACCAACCTAACCACTCAAGTATTTAGAACATGTTTAAAAATGTATTACTGTATTTTTTACCTGTAACCATGGTTAAGTAGATACTTAAGTACGCCTTAAGTTAAGGAGCTCCTTAAGTTGCTCCTAAACGTTGTGAAATGAGTTGAGTACTACTTAAGTATACCTTAAGTAACTCCTTAAGTTGCTCCTAACTTTAAGGCGCCTTAAATTAAGTATCCTTGTGAAACAGGCCCAATATTTCGCGCGCCACGAAACTTCGAAGTCGGATAGGGTTTTGGTTGTTCTGTTCTAGCTTCCCATCGGACTCGTCTGTATAATGTTTAGGACTTGACATAACCAAAGGATAGGTTGTAGGTTAACAATATCAGCTTATAACAAGAGCATGAGACATGGAATTACCAATTTGTTAATGTCAACAGCGCTCGCCATGCTAATCTATATATGAGTCTTGCCGGGCAGGCACATGCCCCCCCCGGAAAAAAGGGCGTATCTCGTAGAGTACATAGAAGTACAAGTAAGGGATAGCGAAAAGAGTAAAACGTTGCTTAGCTACGGCTGGATGAGGATCCAGTCTTAGACAGATAAGGCTTACGAATAAATAGGTACGAGTCGTATCGTACGACATGAAGACAGAATTAAGAAGGGACACCGGCCTTCTGAAGGAGGGTGCGGAGGCTCTTGGCCATACTTCCGTTCTTATTAAGTTTAACATCAGGTCCGCAACAAACAATAGCCGCGTAATCGACAGGAAAAGGGTCGGCACTTGAGTGGTCAGCAGTCAGTCTATGCCATCTGCCGTCATCATCAACCAGAAGCCGGCGTAGCTCGACTTCCTCATCTACGACGTTGTTATAGAGAACTTCGGCCAAGTCGATGAAAGTAGTATCGTCATCAGTTCCATCCATTGTTCTGAAAGCAACCAGATCTCCCGTATGTAGGTCTTCAAGTGGTATTTGTCGAAGCTCTCTGGATTGTGGAAGAGCGAAATCACCGTACGAGTTAGACAGATGGGCGGTTGGCACTGTGAAGAGTTGCCAAAGTGGAGCATCACCGCCATCAGTAAACTTGGCCATAGTATGTGTTTCGTTGATAGAGTCAATGGTAAAAGGACCAGTGACCTTCCTTTTGTGTAATCCATCGACAAACACACGGCAAACTCTGTCGCCCACTTCGACGGTCGGCTCGATGCGGAGCCTGTCAGCAAGACCGGAAACTCGTTGTTCCGCGATGATCCGACGCCAATGGTCATGAATAGATTCCAAGTTATCACGTAACTCGTGTAGGTAATCACTGCGACTTATAACAGATGAGGCGTTTGTGACATCGTTGAGGAGGAGGTCTAGAGCATCGCGGGTCTTTCCACCATAGACAAGTTCCTCGGGCGTTACGTCCTCGCCATACCGAGCTGACACGTTGTGGATACGAGCAATCCATTGTAGATTCTCCAGAACAACGGCAGCAGGCACATGTGCTAGTAGACGGCGAATTCCAGATTTCACAGCGCCGACACATTGTTCAGCACTGCCTTGAGGCTGTGGATGGTGTCCAGCACCGACGATGCTTCGTACGCCAAAGGCTTCGAAGACAGAGCGTGTGACCTCGGATACGAAACTCCCGCCTCTGTCGGATTGGATAGTACGTGGGAGCCCGTAGCGTAGACACCACGACAGGATACCAGTGATAGCAGAATTACTGTCTTGAGTGGGGACCGGCACCAATTCTAGCCAAGAACTGAAGTTATCGACTATCACTAGGACGCTTGGGGCTTCCCAGCCAGTAGAGGCCATGTGGAAGCCTGTTAGAGGGCCTAGGAAGTCGATAGTGATAGATTCGAACCGTCGAGTTATTGATCTAGGTCGCTGTCCGCCGAGTGGTACGAGTCGTAGTCTCTCCTTCCGACAGGTTATACATAGCTCTGTGAAACGCCTAGCGTCTCTCTTCATAGAAGGCCACCAGAACTGTTGTCGAAGACGATGCAACATCGAAGTCGTTGGTGAGTGGTGCCAATGGGAGTTTGCGAGAAGCTCAGTTCTCAGTTTCTTTTCCCATGGCTTATCGGACTCATCAGGTATATATAGCCGCTTGTTGCCGTCCGCGTCAACAAAGTAGATGTGATTGTCTTCAGCCAGAAAACACCATAGAGTCGAATTCTCGCGAGCAGTTCTCTCAGATGATTGGAGTAGAAGACGTCGGAGTTCGTGGTGTCGCCATTTTGTGCTGTCCCGAGGTAAGGCATCAGCGCAGCGCTGTAGAAACTCGTCGTTCAACACCAAGGTATGACTGGTGGTGGGGAGATCGTCGCTCTGATCCTCAACATCAGCTGTAGGGAACTGAGATTGGTTATCGGCCAGAAAGAAGAGGTTCTTCTTGTTTCCTTGTTGAAGAGGTTCGGGGATGATAATATTGGTAACCCACCTGCTCAGATGATCCGCACGCTGGTTGAGAGATCCTGGGAGATGAGATACAGTGACGAGCTTCACCCCACGATTGAGTAAGACTTCTTCCGCTTCAGAGAATTGATCGACAAGTCGTCGTACAGCGAGACGGTCGTATCCTTTCAAGTGGCTGAGATGCTTTTGGCACCATGTTACCGTTGACACATTGTCTGAGTAGAGCTCGACCTCTCGTATAGGTAATCTAGTTCGACAAGTCGCACTATTTCACGTATCATATCCAAGAGTGAAAAAAGCTCCTTGCGATTTGTATGCCAACGTAATCTTGTGGGAAAAGCACGCGATTTTTCGCGTATGGTAGTTTCTTCATTATCTTGTAGAACCCAACCATACCCCTGCTCACAGGCATCGCTATATCCTCGGATAATAGTAGTATCATACCATGAGCGATGGCTGCAAGTTTGGCTGAGTTGCTGGGCTTGTGAAAAGAGCTTGCGGATTTTGCCATAGTCACCATTGCCGAGGGGAAGTACTTCGTCCCATGATGCTTTGTCCGTAGAGCATCCATATCGGCCACACCAACCACGCACCAAATCGAAAATGAGACTGCGTTCTGGATGTAGTCGTAGCGGATCCGGGGCAATTCCGCATAAGCGAAATAGTGTCCTTTTAGTCAGCGGTCCATGTAGGTCCCAAACAGAGGTGTCCGGAATCGGACAATTGCAGCATAGTCGGTTGGTGTCATCAAACCACCAGTCTAGGCCCAAATGGCGGCTTGGGGTCTTTGCGATTGTGTCGCTTTTTGAATCAGGAAATTCAATACCGCAGCAGGAACCGATGGAACTGAGTAGGTCCCGCACTAGACAACCTAGCCGTTCGTCTGTCGTACTGATGGCAAAATCATCGTAGTAGACTACGAGGCAGAGGTCGTTGATGTGAAGGGGTCTTTCCTCTGGGGAAAGAGTAGGCGTTGGCTCGCCAGTGAGCGCACTATACACAGATAGTATCAACGCGTTTGTGAAAGCCGAAAGTGCTAGGGGTCCGAATCGGACCCCGAACACGACTCTATTGGATACATACTGTACCTTATTAGCAGTTAGAAGCAGTCGGCGATGTTTGGGGAGCCTGAGCCTATAAAAGGCCTTGGATATATCCCGGAACTGTAAGCTCCGGGACGGATTTCCGAGCAGTAGTGTAGCACAGTCAGATATAGGTAAGTCATAGTAACCACAGACGGGTAAGCCAACGTTCTTTTTCCGAGCATCGGCACACGGGCGTATACTGTGGCTCGGATGGTTGGGTTGGTGCACCGGAAAAATAACAATGGCGTTGTCGAGGTCCTCTGAGGATGATCCCGTGGGGCACCACCAACCTTTTGATATGTAGTTGTTGACTTCTCCAGAAAAAATAACATTTTGTGCTTCTGTCATCTTAGCCAAGATGTTGTAGCCATAATCATATGTATTTTTTGTGGTTCTTGATCTGGGTTCGTCGTTAGACTTCTGGTCAATCCAATCGAATTCATAGACAAAACTTTGATTGGGGGTGTCCTTCCTCTCGTCCTGCTCGATCGGCCTTATCCTAAACTGGTACCATTTATTGCCCTGTGTTCGGGTCCAATCCCGAAACTGAGATGTTAAATATTCGGTACCATATTTTACCATATCGTCGTACGAACGTGAAAAGTCTGCACTGACACGTGGAGTAGGTCTGCTATAGGCTAAGAAGATCTCGTCAAGAGGCTGTATCTCTTCTCTGTCTTCTTCTTCCTCTTCGATAGACTGAAGTTTATAGCAAGTCTCGGAAGGTGATAAGTATGGTGATAAGTGTGTTTCTTCTTGAGAGTTGGGCATTACCAATTTATATCCCAACATAGCCATAGTTCGATACCCAAGTAAAATATCCAAACCGGCTGGCATATACTCATCATCCAGAACGTAGCATTCAGTAGTAACTTTTTTTCCTGGAGATTGGAGTATGCATAGCCGTGCTTGTCGGTCAAGTGATAGGTCTCCACCAAATGTATTCACAGTAATGTATTGGTCCAATTTTTGCACTTCCGACTGTAGCTCTTTACATACAGAAGCTGCACATAGATTCACTGTGCTACAGGTATCCAACCCCGCGTGTACAGTACGACACGTAAGATCCGGGCAGATGATATCAACATTGCCAGTCGCGAGGTCTCCGATATCGGTAGTACCCGCCAAAGCATATGTATGCCCACTGCGTGTAGCTTTATTTGTGGATACATCACTGTCGTTGGACTTATTGCTGGCCGTGTCGGATTTGCTGGATCTTTCAACTTTATTGGGGCAGTTATATTTCATGTGGCCCTGTTGTCCACATTCGAAACAAGTACCTTTAACAGGTTTCTTTGATGTCTTCGAGACCTTGTTCGAGGCATCCGAGTCTGATTGTTCCTTTTTAGGGAGAGTTGGGCTTATTGCCGACGTTGAAGCGGTAGAGGGGAGAGTTGAGCTTGATGAAGTTTTTGGGTCCTCTTTTTTTGGTCCGTTCTTCAGGTTCTTCTCACTATCTTCGGGCCACTTTTTGAAGGACTTTGTTTTCATATACATCCCCTCCTTTTTTGTCTGCTTCTCAGATGGTAAGCCGAGAAGGGTATCCAAAGTGGTAGGAGCATGTTTTTCTGCGAGCTCGTCCAGGCGGTTGTTGAACTCGTCGAGGTTTCTCGTCTCTCTCAGGGCCGGAAACTCATCTGCTCGAGTTATCTCGACAGAGAAGTACTGATATCTTCCCAAACAGTAGATGAGCTTATCACGACGTATTTTCCATGCGGTACCAGAGAGTTGGACGCCCTCGATTTGAGAGTGCAGAAGATGTTCTTGGGCTAGGAAAGATGACCAAGGTTGTTTTAGTCGTGGGGTTAATATACGTCGGAATTCACCTTGTGAAGATCCCATTTCGAACAGAAGGCACCAAAAGAATAGAGAGCTTTACCACCAGGAGTAACCAACCGTAGACCAGTGGCCTGTCCATAAGGCCTAAACTGACCAAAACCCAACAAAACCATAAGAATATCAGAGGGATTCCCAAGTTTACGGAGGGCTTTTTCATCGTATTGGTCGTCATCAGACGTCGGGCACGATGTAAGCAAAACCGAGTTCAGAAAATTAAACTCGGATGATGCACCATGTTCTAGCTTCCCATCGGACTCGTCTGTATAATGTTTAGGACTTGACATAACCAAAGGATAGGTTGTAGGTTAACAATATCAGCTTATAACAAGAGCATGAGACATGGAATTACCAATTTGTTAATGTCAACAGCGCTCGCCATGCTAATCTATATATGAGTCTTGGGCCAGTGGTCCCAAATGTATCAGAGCGTGGTCCAGAAAGTATCACTTTTCACAAATTTAACCTACCGGTTAAATTGAGCGGGCCTTCGGCCCGCATACTACCCCGAGTCGATCTACACCTCTATAGGGACCCGGTCTTAAGATACTATCGTTCATTGAACAATTTTCGATTCATTAATCTCTTGCGCGCTGTGAAAAATGATGAAAACCGTCCGTGCCAGGATTCGAACGTACGACTTTCATATCTCGCTCGCCCAGAATGCCGAAACGGTTGCGTTGCGCGCGTATCCAGTACGTCCACCTCTTACTTGCCTGTGCTGATCTCGTACTCCAGCCCTTACTACTGTCGTTATGGTATCTTTGGGGGTGTCTTTTGTTCAAGTGCTTTCAATTCTGTCACTGTGGTTGTCCTTGGATTTTTATCCTCATTGATCAAGGTTTTCTTCGTAATGGGTCCGCTAGGCTCCTCACATCGAACATTGCCGAACTCTACTTCCAACAAGTCATGTAGAAGATTGTGTGCAAGGTAAGCTATTGTCGAAGAGTAGCCGTCCATCTCCTGTGTTTGTCGCGTTACATTAATCGGTGATACCTTATGCAATTGCACTCAACTAGACGAGTCGTTTATTAACAGCGGCAACATGCGAGCAGTGAGTGCTATGCATCTCTTACTGCTTCTATTCGTCTACAATTGCCTGACTTGTTTATCGGTCTATGAACACTTTAGCCATTAGTACCTACAAGAACTCGGTGTGTGACATATTTTCGATTAGGTCTTACTTTTTGTGCACCTGTGTTAGACGTTTTCATGTGGATAG